TCACATTATTAAATAGAAACTATCTCTCATAGTGGTAACTAAAGAATAACAATACAACTATTTAAGATATGTAACCAAAGATGATAATTATGGCCTATGTAATAATTCATGCTACAGTGACTTTCTGTAATCATTCTGAACGAATCCCAGACAAGTGTATGACACTTACATACATACACACATGTATATTTCTCCCATATAAGTATTAATCTCACAATGTATACACGTTTGATTTATATGTCTGTTTTTAAACAGTACATACAATTTATTAATAGGTGGACTATGAGCAAAAAGCGAATAGAAGCTAGATAGATAACATATGACAAATACATTAACAACAACAGCAACAACCATACAAAAAGTAATAGGCAGTCAGTTAAAGGAAGAAATTATGTATCTTTTAGATACGTGAGATTTGGCCCCATGCCAAGTTGAGCTAGTTATTTAGTTTAGTTTAAACTGTCACATTTCGATCAAATTAGAAGGGAGAAAAACAGGAAAAAAATTGCCTATTAACCTAGCTTCTTAAAATTATTATTAAATGGGATTTATTACACTGACCAAAATATCAGGGCAATTTTTATTGTTTTGATGAAACTAGAAGCTTAATAGAGGTAAAATCAAAAGACAACAACAAAACAGAGACGAAAATATGTTAAAATTTACTTAGCAATAAAATTCAGTATATGTAGCGGGTAAAGTTATCTACTTCTAGTTTCGATTTCAAGGCTACATTGATCTACTTACTTGTTTTTACCTACGCCCGTTACCTCTCGTGGAGGAGCAAATATTGCTCACCAGCATTCTCCATCCAATTCTGTTCTGGACAATCCTTTCCATCTGTTTCCCGCTGCTATTCATATTTTTAAAGTCTGCTACGATTATCGACGCAATGTGTTCTTTAGTCTTCCTCTTTTTCGTTCCCCTTCACGATTCTAAGTTAGCGCTTGCCTCATGATGCAATTTGATGATTTCCTCAATATGTGTCCAATCCACTTCCAACGTCTATTCCTAACATCCTCTTCAGCTCGAAGTTGGTTTGTTCTCTCCCACAGTAGACTGTCGCTGATGGTATCCTGTCAATGGACATTGAGTATCTTGCATAGACAATTGTTTATAAATACATGTTCTTCTTTGGTGATGGTTGTAGTAGTTCTCAAAGTTTCATCACTTCGCAGTACAACTGTCTTGAAATTCGAATTGAAGATCCTCACTTTGATATTGGTTGACAGTTGTTTCGAGTTCAATGTTCTTCAATTGTATGAATGCAACCATTGTTTTGCCAATCCTCGCCTTTACAATTGCATCAGATCCTCCACGTTCATCGGTAATGCTAACGAATATGTGAAACTTCCCACCTCTTCCAGAGCTTCTCCATCAAGTGTGATTGCGTCGGTGTTCTCTGTGTAGAATTTGAGGATCTTGTCTTTTCCCTTGTGTATGTTGAGGCCGATCAACGCAGAGGCTTCTGCTGCTACACTGGTTGTCTACACCTGCATTTGTCGGTGTGTGTGGAATAGAAGAGCCAGATCATCAGCGAAGTCCAAGTCGTATAGTTGTATCCAACATGTCCATTGTATTTCATGCTTCCCCTCAGATGTTGGGGTATTCATAATCCAGTCAATCACCAGATGAAAGAGAAAGGTAAAGAGTGAGTAGCCTTGCCTGACTCCGGTCCACACTTTGAATAAGTCTGTCATCTGTCTTCTATGCATGACCCTGCAGTGGAAATCCCGATTTCTTCGATCAGAGATTTGTATTATTACTGATTGTTTTCTATTCCTTTCGTTAATAAATGCAAACGCATTGTGTGGGCTTGCTGGGTCTTCGATTCACCTTTCGTTTTGTTCTTCTCTTTTCCAGCCCCCTTCAGTCACACTACTCTGCATGCTCCTCTACTACATAAAGTGCCTACTGGCTAGACACGAATCACTACATCCATAAAAAGAAGTGGGCCATTGGTTCGAAACTAATGTGATCGATGAACATAATTTTAACAAAGTTTCTTGTTTAAACGATGATGGAAAGTGTATGATTTGAAATATGTTAAGTTTCCGATGTTCAAACGCACGTTAGTGAAAAAGCGATGCACAACAGTGCAACAAATCATGTTATCGAATCTCTTAAGAGATAATAAATGTATAAAAAGAACTCAGACTAACCAAAGGGATGTATCAGGACTTTATTAATAAGGAATTATATAGCGTTTGAAATTTACGTGGATGTATACACGCTGTCATAGTGTGAATATTACATCATTCGAGTGCTTCAGTTGATAAATGTTCCTAACCTACATAGGTTTGCTTACTCAACATGTCCATAACTTTACATGCGAGATCACTGAAGGTATTAGATCAAAAAAGTAAACAGGTAGATGGATTTGCGGCCCTTTAGTGATTAAATTGCAGGCATTAACTCTAGTAACAAGTGATCCACAAAGACTATTACAAATGAAATTTAGTCAGAATCATCATAAATAAATCTAACATTAAACCAAACAGTCATATAGTTTTTTAAGTTCCACAAACAATTCAGCTGAAATCTACCAGGTGTTAATAACACAGAAGTCAACGTTTCAAACACATTAGGTAATATTAATTTTTTATTGAGATTAAGTATTTATGTCTTCGGCTTATTACTGATAGTTTTAAGTGTTTTAAGAAAGTGTTGAGTGATTTCTAAAAATTTTTTCGAAGAGTAAATCACTTTATTAGATTTAAGCCTAACTTACTCACGTTCTTATTCAATGATACTTTGAACTTACAGAGACACAGAGAGATTAATACATTGTCACTTGAGGCATTAAAAATATTTCAGATTATTTTAAACGTCTTCATTCAATTTATTAATCATACTATGTTAAACAGATCAATCCTTAAAAATAGTCAAATGAATGCCATTAACCCTTTTGAAGGCAGAGAAAACAAAACGAATATACTAAATATTACATCAGCTGATCTATCTATTTTTTTTGCAATACTTGATAGTTTCCTTACTTTATTGATAGATGGAAACAAAACAAAATTTTTAGTGGTCAAGATCAGCCAATGAATAAAGAGCATTTATGTCACAGTTGATTGGTCCATTAATTTAGGAGATGAAGTCTAACGACATAGCGAAAACAACAATAAAAGGGAAATTTTTGGCACTGAGCCAAATTTTTTAATATCGGGTGATTTCCTTTCACTTTATTTTTTCTTTCATACACACACAAAACACACAAGAGGTACACATTTATTTATCACTTTTACTTACGGAGAGAATTGGAAGAAAATTCATCAGGATAAAAAAAAACACATCGACAGCAACCAGTACGAAGTAGATTTTTATTAGAAAATGTCAAAAAAGTGTTTAATGCCGTTTGGTATTTTGAAAATTGTTGCTTTGCTGAAAACAAAAATATATGATCCTCTCCCTCTACATATTAGTAGCATCCGTTAAATTTCCATTATTTTGAAAATTTTCAAGTATTAGAGATAGAATTCGTAATTGTAGTTTAATGGTGTTCTGTTAATTTTATAACTTTATAGTGAGGTGAAATACATTTCACTGAATGAGTCCCAATCGAAGTGAAATAACAGTATAATAGTCCGGTGAATTTCACTTTACACCAATTCTTGTATTAGAACAATTTCATAACCATTAAGAATTTACATGTCGTTACAAAATTCGTTATGTTAGAATAAGAAAAAAAAATAATTTAAGTAAAACTCACTAAATTTGTCTACGTTAAGAGTTACATACTACAGTATTATAGATCAGGTCAAGGTCATCCTTTAATTTCAAGATATGATTATTGTTATTGAATTATAACAATCACAGCATCATGTTACACTTCACATAAAGTTCCGAATCATATTACGGTTGTTTCAAATGAAATTTTTATTTGAGAATCAGTTTTTGAAGTTATAAATGTCAATCGCTGAAGATAAGTGAAGTACTTATTGCTTTGACCTAGTCAGTTCCTACGACAGTGTGCTAGGTTGTTTTACTTCAATTCTATTCGCGATGGCAACGGTCTCTTCTCTGTTCGGTTCAAACCGTACATAAAAGTACAAGCTACCTAACAAGGATGTTTAAAGTAACTGAAACGAAGCTTAAAATGACCTTAATTTATTTAGCATAAAATTGGTTAGAGTCAAACAGATCAGTTATTTTTTTCGATTTTCATATTCTAAATGTTACTATACCTTGTCCCCTCTATCTTTTACTATTCTTGGTACCATCATTTTTATACCATTATTAATCTGATTTCTTATTTCCGCCTCCTCCTGATAATGTGAAGTGGGGTAACTTTGAATGTTAGACTTTATATTGTCTCCATCTTTGGGTAGGGGAAAATATTGCCCCCAAATGCCCTGGTACGGCCGAGAGTGGGGAGAGTCTACTCTCCCTCTCGAAATGCTCTCATATGGCCAGCGAATATATAGCCTCTGCCAGGGAAGTCCTACTCACTGCCTTCTCGTAAAGGGGGTGTTGAATCCGAAATCGAGAGGACGAAAAGCGAATGTCCGGCGCTATAACCGGATTGGTGGACACGGAGGGTCCACCTAGGGGAGTTGGAAAACCCTGATTCCAAACCAATGGTGCACATGGGCTCCAGTATCCTGATGGAACGAATGGCGGAAGAACCTGTCATTGGTCAACGGCTACCATGGGACTGCATCTCCTGACGATGCTCCACTGCCTTGTGGATCAGACCTTTAGGTCAAAGGCTCGGAGTGTGGTCCCCTAAGAAAACCACCTGTTTCGGTTTGGGCACCCGGGCAGTATCACAGCCCACACACAAATGAATGAAATGATGAACTCTATTGACGATAATGAGGGGAAATATTAGAAATACTATTTATACATATATAATCTATAATAAGTAGTTTTTGTCAGTTAAAAGTTAAATAACCATCATCTCATTACAAATTTAAATATGAAATCGTATTTATAAATAGAGAAAAACGTTTTGCCCCTGTTGATAAATATTTGTTATGTTTCAAGTAACTTACTGCGTTCACAATGATCCGAAGATGATGATCGATTAGTTGGACCTTTTGAATAACGATTTGATGTTAGTGAATCGCCGGGTCTACGACGTATCGGTAGTGGTGGAGATAAAAGTAATGCCTTTGGAATATTAGTCGGAGTAGCTTCTGGTTTACAAGATAAATGATGATTAATTACATGTGGATGTGTCATATTATCCAATAAATTTCCATCGGCTGAAGATTTGTAGCATAAATGGTTACAATTAATAACATGCCGAGTATACTTTGAACGGTGTATTTGTTGTGGTGACAATAATGATAGAACTGTCTTGTTTGGAGCATGTGGTTCAAATGATAACGATAATAAAGATGAGGATTGTGTTGACGGTTGAATAACTGAGGTCATGAATAGACCAGTTGTTTAGAACAAATTAATTTTCAACGGAGATTCCACTTTGAAAGATTAAGTGACAGAAATGAAAGCTTCTTTAGAAACACTAACATCCTGATTAGGAAGACGACAATAAAGGAAGCTTTGTAGCTTAATTTACGCCTTCACATTGGTCAGGATAAAAAGCAAATCCTACTAGAAATAAAAATAAAAACGGAAAACATAAAAAAATTACTCAACTATTTAAAACAAAGATTAAAATGACCCTATTTTATACTTTTTTGAGAACTATTCAGGCCAATCACTAATCAAAACTCCTAGTTTAACTACCACAGGTCAATATTATCAGTTTACATATAAGAAACAGGAATAACATTTTAAGACTATAAGGTATTGAAAAAAGCCCGATATTAAAATTTATTTTATCAATTTTAGGTTTTACGGTTAATCACTACTTAAACATTAGAGCTACTTTTTTCTTTAAAATACCTAATTTTATATTTCTAGCGTTCTTCATCTAACTGAATCGGAATTATCTTTATTATTCGAATTGATAAGAATAACATCTTAAATACTGTTTAAACATGTTAATGGATGAGTAAGAATTATTTTGTGAGTTACACATCTTACTTAGAATTCCACACGTATTTGTTTCTCATAGGTGTTAAGTTGTGTTTAGAGTCATGCATCTCGAAATATTTCCAGTTTTTTCTTCGCTTACGCTTAAAACAAGGAGTCCAGTAGCTCTGGTACTGTACTCACACTGAACAACAGTTCTGCATGGAATCCATTTGCATACAAACATTCGATCATAAATAAGGTGGAGACTGGCACAAATTTGCGTTCGGAGAAGTTGATGTGCCAAATTGACAAAAAAGGCGAAATTAGCAAAATTAATGATGAAGGAGTAGAAATAATGTAATACCAACAATAATGAGAAAGACTGAACGTTGAAGAAGTGGTTCGAAAAAAAAATTTAGGCGCATTTGAAAGAATACTAAAAATTATGATTTAGAGCGGGATAAAGAGTGAATAAATCTTCGCCACTGTGATAGAATTAGAGCCATATCACCTAATAGTTCGAAATCCAATGACTTCATGAACGTCTTGGCCTCACAACCCCATTAGCTTTCTTTCAACCTCCCACTTTAGTAAGCATCGACTGCTGAGGTAGGCAATTAGCCATAAAAAGTACACGTCCCGTCCACCTCATTTAATGAGGATTCACTACTTCACCGACCGCTTTTAAATCTTGCCCTGGTACCTTATGGCTAACCACCCAGTCGTTTCATGATACTCAAACAATACTTCAGAGACTCCAGTGTTGGCAAACAGAAGCCAACACGTCTTTAGCTTCCATGAACCGTATTTCGTAGTTGTAAAGTAATACATAGTGGACTATTACGCACTACATTTGGTTGAAACACTCCAGTACTCTACAACCTACGATCAAACTAAGAAATGGTGATCACTTTTGAGACAAACATTTGCATTCAGATGCAGAAAAACTCGTCACAAACATGGTTGAATTACTGCTCTAAGAGGTTATAAGATTGGTTTTGTCAGCCCCTTTAAATAATAAAATATCGTTTACTTGTTCTAAGCTGGTAAGTGAACATCTGTAAGCGGATCAATTTTCAGAAAGTTAGATGAAGTGTGATTTTGGGGGGACAGTTTCCAAATAGCAGCATAAAATAATATAAATCTTCCAGGAAAGCCTTTTCTGAAGTGAATATTGAGCAAAAGCAATAATTGGGGTAATATCATAGAATACATAGGTGTTAATGATGAATTTCAACTCTTCATCATTTTGAGGTAAAGATGGCACAAGTGAACTAGAAGGAATCTACAAATCAAAGTGGAAGTCTAGTAAAAGCCCTGTATTAAGTTTTATGGAACGAATCACGGCTTCTCCGCCAAAAAGTGACGACAATTTACCTACAATGAGGATTCCCATAGTTACACTGTTTTTCTCTCGGTTTGATGTTTTAAATCTCAAGTCCCGCTTCAATTTATAAACAGTGGCTAAATTGTGCTGCGTTTGAGGTTTAAAAAGTATCAAGCTCGAAATGTTTTTCTTCGTTTAAATATGTGGTGTGATTTATCCATCATAAGGCATGAAACTAGCCTACCAGACTGATATACCAATACATATAACCAACCGCACAGATATCTTTTAGTCAACAATGAACAAAATGAATGACACAAATATCATTTAAATAAAGGGAGAAACTAGATTTCATCCTAGCAAGATTTAGACATTTTAATTTTTTTGGTGAAAGGGCGATTAAGTCGCCTAACCCTATTTCTTCACCTTTCTTCAGGAGGTGGAGTGATCTTAAATTGTTGTTTTGCACCTTAAATATTGAACCGAGTGCTAACATGTTTTAATTCCTTTCCCTAGGATCAATCATATCTGAAATCATCTTGAAAAGGTTGAAAAAACGTATTCTTAAGAACTCAGGGTGGGAAACCGTTCTTATCAACCATTAATCAACGACCGGAACGATAAAACCAAATAATCGACATTACTCTCTTCGGTGAATATCTGACAGAAAAATCTGACTGTTCATGCAACTATGTACTGAAAACATTGACGCAAGTCTACGAACACACTATCATTCTGACTACGGACTGAAATGGTTATTAAGCATTCGAAACCAGATATTTAGCGTGCAAAACCAAGCACTAAGCCGCCATTAAAAGCTTCTTTGCCTTTAGATCGTAGAAATTTTGAGAGTATTGGTAAGAAATTTTTGAATAGTGACCCCAACTCATATCTTGATTGAGACTAGTAAGATACTCTTCAGACTGATGTTGACTTTTAGGCTGAATCTCCAGATTCATGGGAGAGCCTGTTAGGACTCTAAGATTTTTTTTGATTATTCCTTAGAAAAAATATGCAATCACACTAGCTATCTCCTATTTGAGCAGCATAAGGCTTGAATAATGATGACGTGGCTTTTAGTTTATACTATAGCTGAGTAGTCAGTCAATTTTAATAAAAGTAAGGACTTAATATGGCATATCGACCGTAGCCACAGCAGTTTTCTCAATTATTATTGTTTTCACCATTACTCATTGATGCCATGGCAGCTAAATTAAATGGTCAATAATGAAAATATCCACACATAAAAAAGCATGGAAAGAATACCCTTTATCATTAACTTTAAATTAGACAATGTGAAGGTTGAGTACAGATCAATTTCATCAATTAAAAGTAACTAGTGTCATCACACCTGATTATAAACACCGATTTCGTGTTGGTTTTAGTGTTTTCGACGTCGTCCAACTACTTATTAGTCAAGAGTCAGAAATTCACAGTTACAAAAAGGTATGTTGAATAATAAAAATAGCTGGTACAATTGCATAGTAATATAAACAGAAAACCAACGCTACCTAGTGCAATATTTGAAAATGCGCAATGTTACACTATATAATAAGGTTATTATTTGGCTACGTTAAAAGTAGTTTTGTGAAAATTGAACCTAGCTTTTCTAATGCTATCGACCCATTATCTAGTTAAAAAGTCTATATGAGGGCAAAAAGCGCAGTTCTCGAGGACGTGTTCATTCTTCTATTCTTTTTGTCAGTCTTTTTAATATAAACATCATACCAGAACATTCATTATTTTCACTAATTTCATGTTATTACTGGTGAGTCCGATTATCGTTCGCACTTTACAAATGGAAAGCGGTGTAGTATGATGGCCTCCTGAAAAACGTCGCTTGCCGGTGATATCATGGACAGGATCTTATCTGCAACAACCTTCAACCATTTTATGGTGACATCTGACATTGTTGTTGATAGAGATTTGTTATATACTGATGATGTCACAGGTATTGTAGTTTGACAACACGTTTTATACTTGAATCATGTTGAGGATACCACGGATATTCTAGTTTGGCAACTATCAACCAGTAGTATCTTCTATAATCGTTCTTTCCCAGTCGAATAGAAGCCAGAAGTCAGACGAGGAGAGGTAGGAAAGATATATTTGATACGTTACCAATATATCGAGGAACCTTTACTATAAGCTGGCTAATGAACGTAGAAGCTGTGACCCACGCCGTGTCGCAACGTGATCTGGTGCGGATGCATGACCGAAAGCCTTCAGCTAAACAAGTCCACTTAAACAACGTGGTTAGCATCCAATGACGAACACTTAATGAGCTATTGATTCTGGGGAATTATTTACAGCTACAATGTCCATGCAGTAAAATCAAAATTCAAAAGCGATGAGGTTCGAGGATATATTTGACAGACTATCAACGTATCGAGAAGTCACTGATCTAAACTGGCTAGGGATTGCAGAAGTTGAGCACGGCGATCCCACTCGTGATCTACGCGGACGCATGATCGAGCCACTTCAGCTAGGTGAGTCCATTAAAAATAATGTGGTCAGCATCCAATGTCGAACACTTACAGAGCTACTGATTTTGAGGATTTATTTACCGCTACAATGTATTCAAATCCACCAGAGCTCTAAAAATGTCATCTTCCACGATATGTTCTTTGGAGGTTTTGTTTTTTAGCGTGAAGGGATTCCTTGCCTTTTGTCTGGTAGAAGTATTTTATGGATCATGCATAGTCGTGGCTGCTCCAAAGAGTTCATTTCTTCAAGAGGTATGAGGAGCCCCAAAAATGAAGACGAGTGACTTCAACGTTCATAACTACCACTATCTAGACTATGGTTCCAAAGCGGTTTTGTACATTAGAAACTTGGTAGGATAATTCAGATTATCAGAAAATATAACCCAGTGTACTCTATGAGGACCTGATAGATATGTATATGGATTGTATGCTCACCAGTTATGCATTAAAATTCACTGATTCACAAGCACTCAACTATTTGGATCAAAGCAATAGCGTCATCCCAACATCCCATGTCTCCATAACACGCTTAACGTAACCAACACTAAGTCTTTCGAGGAGCTGATTATAGAGATTTCAGAGAGATCTCAAAAGATCGACCTAGCAGAGTGAATACGATTCTGTCAAGGGTGACGGATGAT